TCTCTATCTCCCTCTGATCAATGTTTATAAACAATGCTACTTTGTATCTCTCTATCTCCCTCTGATCAATGTTTATAAACAATGCTACTTTGTATCTCTCTATCTCCCTCTGATCAATGTTTATAAACAATGCTACTTTGTATCTCTCTATCTCCCTCTGATCAATGTTTATAAACAATGCTACTTTGTATCTCTCTATCTCCCTCTGATCAATGTTTATAAACAATGCTACTTTGTATCTCTCTATCTCCCTCTGATCAATGTTTATAAACAATGCTACTTTGTATCTCTCTATCTCCCTCTGATCAATGTTTATAAACAATGCTACTTTGTATCTCTCTATCTCCCTCTGATCAATGTTTATAAACAATGCTACTTTGTATCTCTCTATCTCCCTCTGATCAATGTTTATAAACAATGCTACTTTGTATCTCTCTATCTCCCTCTGATCAATGTTTATAAACAATGCTACTTTGTATCTCTCTATCTCCCTCTGATCAATGTTTATAAACAATGCTACTTTGTATCTCTCTATCTCCCTCTGATCAATGTTTATAAACAATGCTACTTTGTATCTCTCTATCTCCCTCTGATCAATGTTTATAAACAATGCTACTTTGTATCTCTCTATCTCCCTCTGATCAATGTTTATAAACAATGCTACTTTGTATCTCTCTATCTCCCTCTGATCAATGTTTATAAACAATGCTACTTTGTATCTCTCTATCTCCCTCTGATCAATGTTTATAAACAATGCTACTTTGTATCTCTCTATCTCCCTCTGATCAATGTTTATAAACAATGCTACTTTGTATCTCTCTATCTCCCTCTGATCAATGTTTATAAACAATGCTACTTTGTATCTCTCTATCTCCCTCTGATCAATGTTTATAAACAATGCTACTTTGTATCTCTCTATCTCCCTCTGATCAATGTTTATAAACAATGCTACTTTGTATCTCTCTATCTCCCTCTGATCAATGTTTATAAACAATGCTACTTTGTATCTCTCTATCTCCCTCTGATCAATGTTTATAAACAATGCTACTTTGTATCTCTCTATCTCCCTCTGATCAATGTTTATAAACAATGCTACTTTGTATCTCTCTATCTCCCTCTGATCAATGTTTATAAACAATGCTACTTTGTATCTCTCTATCTCCCTCTGATCAATGTTTATAAACAATGCTACTTTGTATCTCTCTATCTCCCTCTGATCAATGTTTATAAACAATGCTACTTTGTATCTCTCTATCTCCCTCTGATCAATGTTTATAAACAATGCTACTTTGTATCTCTCTATCTCCCTCTGATCAATGTTTATAAACAATGCTACTTTGTATCTCTCTATCTCCCTCTGATCAATGTTTATAAACAATGCTACTTTGTATCTCTCTATCTCCCTCTGATCAATGTTTATAAACAATGCTACTTTGTATCTCTCTATCTCCCTCTGATCAATGTTTATAAACAATGCTACTTTGTATCTCTCTATCTCCCTCTGATCAATGTTTATAAACAATGCTACTTTGTATCTCTCTATCTCCCTCTGATCAATGTTTATAAACAATGCTACTTTGTATCTCTCTATCTCCCTCTGATCAATGTTTATAAACAATGCTACTTTGTATCTCTCTATCTCCCTCTGATCAATGTTTATAAACAATGCTACTTTGTATCTCTCTATCTCCCTCTGATCAATGTTTATAAACAATGCTACTTTGTATCTCTCTATCTCCCTCTGATCAATGTTTATAAACAATGCTACTTTGTATCTCTCTATCTCCCTCTGATCAATGTTTATAAACAATGCTACTTTGTATCTCTCTATCTCCCTCTGATCAATGTTTATAAACAATGCTACTTTGTATCTCTCTATCTCCCTCTGATCAATGTTTATAAACAATGCTACTTTGTATCTCTCTATCTCCCTCTGATCAATGTTTATAAACAATGCTACTTTGTATCTCTCTATCTCCCTCTGATCAATGTTTATAAACAATGCTACTTTGTATCTCTCTATCTCCCTCTGATCAATGTTTATAAACAATGCTACTTTGTATCTCTCTATCTCCCTCTGATCAATGTTTATAAACAATGCTACTTTGTATCTCTCTATCTCCCTCTGATCAATGTTTATAAACAATGCTACTTTGTATCTCTCTATCTCCCTCTGATCAATGTTTATAAACAATGCTACTTTGTATCTCTCTATCTCCCTCTGATCAATGTTTATAAACAATGCTACTTTGTATCTCTCTATCTCCCTCTGATCAATGTTTATAAACAATGCTACTTTGTATCTCTCTATCTCCCTCTGATCAATGTTTATAAACAATGCTACTTTGTATCTCTCTATCTCCCTCTGATCAATGTTTATAAACAATGCTACTTTGTATCTCTCTATCTCCCTCTGATCAATGTTTATAAACAATGCTACTTTGTATCTCTCTATCTCCCTCTGATCAATGTTTATAAACAATGCTACTTTGTATCTCTCTATCTCCCTCTGATCAATGTTTATAAACAATGCTACTTTGTATCTCTCTATCTCCCTCTGATCAATGTTTATAAACAATGCTACTTTGTATCTCTCTATCTCCCTCTGATCAATGTTTATAAACAATGCTACTTTGTATCTCTCTATCTCCCTCTGATAAATGTTTATAAACAATGTTACTTTGTATTGCTCCGTACAATGTTTTTTCTTGCCATAGGAATCCCATATTGCATAGTGTTAACAAAGCTTTAATATACCATTAAAGGGTTTTATTATATTTGTTTAATAGCTGAAAAAAATAGTTATCAGATAGAAATCTTGTCAGCCGATAACTCCCTGTGCTCTCTGCTACATTCTTATCAGTTACATGATACGTTCCCAGGTCTCTCCGAGGACTACAGAACCTCACCCATCTATGAGACACAGATAAAGAGAGGTGGAGGTTTCTGTAGTCCATACAGTACAGTGAGTGAACACGCTCACCCTAGGACAGGAAGTGTGTTACTGGTAGGATTACCAGGTGAAAATAAAGGGGGAAAAAACTCCAAGAAAACTAATGCATCTGCCACATCTAAGGACTGGTAAGCTGCAATATATGACAGTTTTGTTCTTGGGTTTTAAGACACAGGAATAATGTCATCCAATTCATCTGCTCCGTGCCGTCTTGCATCACATCTCCGGTGACACAGGATGATTCCCCTGTGAAGGGAGCTGATACATGAAATTACCAGGATGGGACAAAGAACTGAGCTGCTCATTGTTTCCACAAGAGGCGGCCATCACTGTCCCACCAACTGTCACTCATGTGCCTCTTATCTGTGGATACTGACTGAAAAGACCGGGCTGAGAGGCCACACGGATCAATAAAGAGGTCTGACCAAGGAATAGATCTGAGGAGACTCGCAGATCAGAACCCAGATAACGAAACAGCTTGACTGAGAGGGGAGAGGAATAAAGGCTGAAGACACAATGGCTGCCACCTTATCACTCGCTGAAGAGAATAAGGCAGAGGAGGTCAGGGCTGAAGACTGCGTCATAACAAAAAGCAATATACATGTTATAATGTTACAAGGCATAGCCGATGTTCACTCCACAGACACACAGGCCTGCTGGAGCACTCGGCTTCATCCACTTTTTAACTCATCTCTCTTGAAATACACTGCATTGCTGGAGGACTTCACTCCATCCTCTATTTAAGTCTGCTCTCCTGAAATACTTTATACTACTGGAGGACTCTTCTGCTTCCTCTATCTAACTCTTCTCTCCTGAAATACTTAATACTACTGGAGGACTTCGCTTCTTCTTCTGTCCTACTCTTCTTTCCGGAAATGCTCTGCACTGCTGGATGACTCTTCTCTTTCCTCTATCACACTCTCCTTTTCTAAAATACACTGTACCGGGGGAGTACTGTGTTCCTTCCTCTATCTAACTCTTCTCTCCTGAAATAATTTATACTACTGGAGGACTCTCCTTCTATTCAACTCTTCTTTCCGGAAATACTCTGCACTGCTGAAGAAATCTTCTCCTTTTTCTATCACACTCTTCTGAAATACTCTGTACTGCTGGAGGACTCTGTTCATTCCTCTAACTTTCCTCTCCTGAAATACTCTGTGGAGCTGGAGGACACTTCTATCTAACTCTCCTCTCGGGAAATATTCTGCAGTGCAGGAGGAATCTTCTCCTTCCTCTGACTCTCCACTCCTGAAATGCTCTGTGCATCTGGAGGACTCTTCTACTTCCTCTAAAGGTGCCCATACACCTTACGACCATCGCAAGACTTTTGTTCGATTCTCGGCGGGTTTTCGAACATGTTGGCTCGACAAAAGACGTGCGACCGTACAGTAGAAATGGTCGCACGTCTTAGTTCACACTGCTCGATTCTCGTACGATCGCGGGATTTCGCCCGATTCTCGTACGAGAATCGAGCAGTGTATGGGCACCTTTACTCTACTCTCCTGAAATATGTTGCCCTGTTGAAGGACTCTGCTCCTTCCTCTGTCTCACTCTCCTCTTCTGAAATACTATGCACTGCTGAAGGACACTGCTTCTTCCTCTAACACTCCTCTCCAGAAATATTCTGCAGTGCTGGAGGACTCTTCTACTTCCTCTAACTCTACTCTCCTGAAATACTCTGTACTGCTATGTAGGGAATCTCAATACCTCCAGAAAAGAAGAAGGCAATGATCTGTACAGATCCTGAATAAAGGAAGTCATTGCAGTGATAACATGTAAAGGATTTTAGTGTTTCTCTGCCAAGCTGGAGATTCAGTTTCTTCACTGGCCCACAGAGCAGAGTACTGAGGACTTTTTTTTAGTAAATGTGTATTGCTCCTCCCATGTCCACCTACCATGCTCTTTATCAATCAAATAAGCTGCATGTTACTTGCTCCCCTCATTACAGAGCACTGCTGGGGGGAGGCACTACATACATTGTCCTCCACCCATACTGTATGTTATAAAAACATGTCAGGACATCTATGTACAGCATAGCGTGTCTCACCTGTCTATGATGACCGGGTCTGAGGGCGTCTCATTGCGATTCCCACAGCTCTTCTTGTCACAGCACCGACTGAATGAAAGAAAATACACTACATTGAGAGATTATCTGGTGCAATTGATCAGGACACATCCTCTGTTCTTAGAAATAAATAATAAATACATAAATTGTCCATAGAGTAAACGTGGTGCAAAGTTGTTCACTTTTAGGTCATTGCAAATGACAAGGCAGCACTCTTTAAACTCATCATATGGAAAGCCTTCTTTACAGTAAGGGCAGGAATGTTTCTAGAGGCACAAATGATAACTTGCTATTAAAGCGACTACACACACTAAAGTATTGACCCACTCTGAACAAACAGTTTAAAGCAAGAACTTTAAACAAAGCCTTCATTCACCTTTCTAGCTATAGGCGTTGTGGAGAAACTTGACTTCAAATTTTCCCAGCAGGGGCACAGAAATTTTCCCAGCACTTTCTATTACAGCAGAATTAAGGCTGCCTACCCGGCCTCCAATGTAAACAGCAGCTGTATCTAAACTGTTAGGAACCACCTTCAGAGTCTTTGAAGATCTTTGAGAATGAAGTATTTCACGGCACAAGCAGCTAGAAAGGTCAGGGATGGAATATTTTTAAAGCTCTTTTCCTGCTTGTTTTGTAAATTATGTCCACAATCTGGGCACAGCGGGGACATTAAAGGATGATCATGGGGTGACTGAAAAACACATCCCCATAATTCAAGCCGACCTGTGACAAAGAAGCTGTCACAGGTTGGCTCCATTGATTGGGAAGTCAGCGAACACATGCCGCTGATTGCTGACTTCCTGATCCTCTCCCTGCAGAGAGCGGTGGCTGTCATTCGCGGTTCCCAGGAGGAATTCCATCTCTCCCCTCTCTATTTCTCCAGCGCGGACTGGAGGAGCAGACCGGGGAAGTGCCAACTGTCAATCAGCCAGCAGGGAGGATCTCAACAGTATTTGTCGGGATAGTTTGAATAATGATGATGGCCTTCATTCAACCCACAATTAGGCAGCAACAAGCCATCATCATTCAACCTTTTCATGTGAGTTCAGATCTAGAATGTACTGAAGGGTTGTAGTGGGCAGAACACACAACAACAACAAAAAACCCAGTTCTGATTTAGTGCTGGTTCACACCTGGGCGTTTTACAGCGCTGATCGAAGCGTTGTAAAACGCTCAAGCAGTGAAATCCCATTAATTCCTATGGGCATGGTTCCCACCTGGGCGTATTTCAGCACTTCACAACGCGCTGAAATACACCCAACGCCCGAACTAGTACAGGAGCTTCTTTTGGAGCGTTTTTCCGCGCGTATCCATTAGGATACATTCTGATAGATTTTGTAAAACGCTCGTTTGTCGCATGTTTCGTTGACCGCAAATCGCGGTATAAACGTGCGGCCCGAAAACGTGCGTCAAACGCTCATGTTACGAACCCAGTCTTAAAGGCAGTTATAGTCAGACAACTAGCATTTTCAGAAGGACACCAGCAATGGCAGGTCTGGCCCTCCTGCCGGTGAAGTGAATTGTGATGACAAGGAGGTTCCTGTAACCTTCAATGGCCATTCCATGACCTCGCATCACTGTAGAAGGAATAATTCCTGGAGCCACTGTCTGGAAAGGATTAGCATGTTTGCATTTATTTTTGTTCTTTATAACTTCAGAACTTTATAGTTCCAGTCAATAATCCTCTGTGCTCAGTTGGTGCAGACATCACCTCTGAGCCTCTCAGCTCATCCATGCCTCATTACCCAAAATCCTATCTGTAAATTACACTAAACCAGCTCCCCTGATGCCCAGCCTTTGGGACAAACAAATGGATATGTTAGAAACGGTTTCCAAGCTGGAGAGCACCTCAACCACTCAGGAGATATCATTTCAGGGACCTCAAACAAGAAAACAGGGAATCGATTACAGCTTCATACTGTGTCCTCACATGGACTGAAGTCCCATCTGTGCTTTCCTTCTAGGGCCCGATACAAGGAAGAAGGGCTGGGCTGCTGGTATGGGTTAGGCTAATAAACTGAAGGGAAGCTTACAAAGTAATATGCTCCTGGTGTATTTTTAATCCTAAGTAAAACAATGTGTCCTTTACTCTTCATGTCCTGCTAATTAAACCAGACCTATGGTAATCAGGGGCAGACCTACCGCCGGTGCGGCCGCCCCGGGGCCTGAGCCTAAAGGGGGGCCCAGTATCCAATCTAACACAGCCTTTGGGAAGAGACGGGGGGGGGCCCCGCCGGTGTCTGGCCGCCGGATAGCATTGGATCTCTGTGCCAGGAGTGTCTGATGATCTGACACTCCCGGTGCAGAGATGAGGGGGCCCGCTGGCTGCCGGATACTGAGGAGGGAGCCGAGAATAAAAAAGCCGGCAGGCACTTCATGGGGCAGCCCTGGGCCTCGGCCATGAGGACCCAGCAAACAGCCGCCTGAGTACACGGGCACGCTGTCTGACACACACACACACACACGTTTTTCTGCAGCCTCCCCCATCAGAAAACAGCCAGGGAGGTGAAGGTAAGTTATTAAATAAAATAATTATTTTTTGTAGCCCAACTAATGGACATGCTGTATAAAGTACAGCTGGTATTTGTAGTGCTATATAGCAGGTCCCATTCTGCATTGCAGCAATGCACAATGGGACCCTCTATAGAGGACTACAAATCTCAGCAGTACTTTATACAGAAAAAAATGCTATTTTTAGAACTTTTTGTTTTTTTGTGGTCGCTACAGGGGATGTGGGTTGTGGGGTTTGTGTGGTTTTTTTAGGGGGGGGTGCAGGGGGCCGGAAAAAAAATCTTGCACCAGGGCCCTTTGTTCCCTAGGTCCGCCACTGATGGTAATGCTCTATCTCTGTGCACCCCAGGATTAATGCAATGCTTCATCCCTCTCAACTCAACATCCTTATGATGTACTATCTACTTCTGACCTAAAATTAATGCAATGTCCTATCTAGTTTGACCCCAACATTCATGTGATGTGCTTTCCCCTCTTACCTCAATATCTATGTGATCTGCTGTTCCCTCCAACTCCAATCTTTATTTGATGTCCAGTTCCCTCTCAGCCTACAATCCAAATGATGTCCTTCTGCCTTTTACTCCAAGATCCATGTGAAGGCCTATCCACTTTCAACCAGACATCCATGTAATGTTCTATCACCGTTTCATTTCTTCCAGCTCAATAGCCAAGGCATGTTCTGTTCTCCTAAAACCCAACTTCCATATGATGTCCCATTTCCTCCAACCCAATATGTATGCGATGTTCTGTTCTCCTAAAACCCAAACATGTGATGTTCCATCTCCTCCAACATCGATGTGAAGTTCCATCATCCTTCTGTCATAACATTCATGTAATGTTCTGTTCTCTTGCAACCCAACATCCACGTAATGTTCTGCCCTCCTCTAACCCATGTGATGCTCTGTCCTCCTTCCAACCTAACATTCATGCAATTTTCAGTTTTCCTTTCAAACCAACATCCATGTGATGTTCTATCTCCTCCAATCCAACATTGATGAGATGTTATGTTTTCCTCCAACCCAAAATCCATCTAATGTTCTATTCTCCTCCAACCCAGTATATACGTCAAGTTCTTTCTCCTAAACCCAGAATCCATGAGCTGTTATGTCCTCCACCAATCCAAAATTCATATGATGTTGCATCTCTTGCAACCCAACCTTCATGTGATGTTATGTTGTCCTCCAACCCAATAATTATTTGATGTTCCATCTCCTCAAATAGGCAGGTCATTTTCTGCCTGTACTTTACATTAGTGTTAAAGGAGATAGATCATGACAAAGGTGTTGAATAAAGTTTCCTCTCATTCATAACATTTCTAAATCAAGCCCTATACTGTACAATCTACCCACGTAGGTTATACTTAATTTTAGGGGATGTTCAGATACCAGTGCCGATACTTGGCATTTACACAAGAACTACCAGGGTTGCAGCGGTTGCAGCTGGGACCTAACTCTGTCGCTCCACCAGCTCCCTGCTGCACTGGCCTCCACTCTGACTCCTGGGTGGAGTTCTCCTGACTCACAGGTGAGGCCCTGAACACATCCCAGCACCCTCTTCATGAGGGTTGTACACAGGTGCACAATTAGGTGCTGGCTGCTACTAACCCATGGACCCAGGAATGGAGATTTCCTCCCACCCAGAGCTCTAAGAAATCTCCTGGCTCCAGGATCCCAACTATGATCCAGAAAACCTGGAAAGTACTGAAAAGGCAATTCTCTCCTGGTACAAGTAATTTCTTCCTGGAGCCACTCAGCCCATCTGGCTGAGAACCCTGGGTGACTTTGAGGCCACCTAACACCGTGGTATTGCCACGCAATGCCACAATATAAAAACAGAATCATACATTAAAGCAGGGATGCACAAAAGTTGAATGTTCTGAAATCTATTCTTTGCAATAGTCTCTCAGCCTGCAATTATTAGCACGGCATTTGTCCTAGCGCCAAAAAGTTATTCAAGGAGATGTACATTTCTACACTTTATCACCGAAGGGGTTAAACCACCCTAAATAAGCAGAGGGGGTGCATGTGTCCATCACCCAAAGAAAAACAAGATGCTTACAAATGGTTTCAAATTCATACTTTTTTTTACTTTCCAAAACAAATGCTGAATCATCAGTAACTGACGCCCTCCCACCCCCATCCTGGTTATGATTTCCTTGCAGAAAACAATGTCTAGTTTGTGTTTCCCCAGATTTTTGGACTTCTTCATAAATTCTTTATGTATTGTTCAGTATTAGCTAATCCAAGACCTCCACCCAGGTCCCGATAGGAGTGCCGCAATAGCTGACCACAAACCTCAGAAGACATAAATCTTCTAAACTCTCAGCATGCCAGATATACAAGAGCTAGATAATTGAATCACAACATCCTAGCTACAAACAATGTGTACCAGTACCAACTCTGAGAGGAAGGCAAGGAGGAATAGGGGGGAAGGGAAGAATGAAGGCAGGAGTGGAGGGTGGGGAGGAAGAAAAGGAAGGATGGAAGGAAGGGACTGGACAAAAAGAGAGGAAGGAAAGGAAAACAGAGAAATAAGAAAGGAAAGGAAAAAGAAAAGAGAAGTGGGAGAGGAAAGACATAAGAGAAAAGGAACAAAGAAGAAAGGAAGGCAAGGAAGGAAGGGAAAGGATGAAGGAGAAAATAAGGGAAGAAGGCTGCGAAGGAACCAAACAAAGAAGGGAAGAAAGAAAAGAAGGAAGGAGAAGAAAATGAGGAAAGGAAAGAACGAGGTAGGAAGGAAGGGATGGAAGGAATGAAGAAAGGAAAGAAAGGAGGAACAGAACACAAAGAGAGGAAGGAAAGGAAACTGGAGAGCAAAGAAAGGAAGGAGGTGAACAAGAAGAAGGAAGGAGGTGAAAAAGGAAGAAAGAAAGAAAGAAAGAAAGAAAGAAAGAAAGAAAGAAAGGACGGGAATGATACAAACGAAGAAGGGAAGAAATAAAAGAAGGAAGGAGAAGAAAAGGAGGAAAGCAAATAACTAGGGAGGAAGGTAATATAAGCAAATAATGAAGGGAAGGAAGAAAGGAATGAAGGAAGGAAAGAAAAGAGGAACAGAACAAAAAGGAAGGAAAGGAAACTGGAGAGGAAAGGAAGGAAGGAGGGGGAAAAGAAGAGGAAAGGTGGGGGAAAAGAAGAGGGGAGGAGGGGAAAAAGAAGAGGGGAGGAGGGGAAAAAGAAGAAGAAAGGAAAGTGGGAAAGGAACAAAGAAGGAAGAAAGAAAGAGCGAAAGAAAGAAAGAAAAAAGAAGGGAGGAAGGGCAGGCATGATACAAACATAGAAGGGAATAAAGAAAAGGAAGGAGAAGAAACTGAGGAAAGGAAAGAACAAGGGAGGAAGGAAGCAAATGAAGAAGGGAAGGTAGGCAGGTAAAGAAAGGAGGAACAGAATAAAAAGAGAGAAAGGAAAGTAAACTGGAGAGGGAAGGAATGAAGGAAGGGAAAAAGAAGAGGAAAGGAAGGTGGGAAGGAAAGAGGAAAGGAAAGAGGAAAGGAAAGAGGAAGGGGGAAAGAAAGAAAGAAAGAAAGAAAGAAAGAAAGAAAGAAAGAAAGAAAGAAAGAAAGAAAGAAAGAAAGAAAGAAAGAAAGAAAAGAAAAAATAAGGGAGGAAGGAGGAGAGATGGAGAAAAGGAGCAAGGAAGGTAAGGAAGCAAACAAAGAAGGGAAGGAAGAATGGAAGGAAGGAAAGACAGAAGGCTGGTTACCTATGGTATAGAGAATAAAATACTGCTTAAGAGCAACTTTCAGACTTTTCAAGTCTGTTTAGAAAGTCAAAATGAATCAACTGCAAATGTTATAAATGTAAAATGTTGCTTATTTATTAGGTACAATGGGGGCAATCTTTTTGTTACAACAAAGAAGTGCTGGTTTTTAGCACAACATCAATGTGATATACGGAAACCATCGCTTTCATGGAGTAAGGTTTTGAAACCCTGTCAGGTACCATATAGCTTGAGCGTGGATCAGTGAACTGCCAGTAGAGCAGAGTTTACATTTGCACATCTCTAATCGTGGTCATAACTCAACAACCTCAATATATCAACAACCTGCAAGCTGGAAATAGAAAGGGATGAAATAATGAAATGAGGAACAAATTATCAAAGTAAATACTCATCTCCATGTTGCTGTCTTTGATTTTACATGAAGAAGACATCTGACAGCGGGATGAAGATTTCCTACTGAAAAACTGGAGCTGAACTTACTGTACAGGACACCACAGATACGTAGCTCAGAGCCAGGCCAAGGGCTAGCAGGAGAGGCAACCGCCTTAGGCGCTTTAGCAGGAGGAAGGTGCAAAAAGGGCAGGAACTGCAACTTTTGTTGCTGATGTAGCTCACTGCTCAGCTCACAGGCTCAGTAGCAGACTTGCCTGATACAGAAACAACCCGGTGACTGCAGGCAATGTTCCACATCATGAATATTTTCTTGATAATATAGAGCTGTCTATGGTCAGCCTAAGTGGACTGAGCACCTGATCTGGAACTATGGATTTTTAGAAGCTTGGGCCACTGCGCATCAATGGCTGCCAGTTGGCCTGGAGGGTGGCACAAGAGGTATGCTTGCCTCCTCTATTTGTCTCCTGCTGCCTCTGGCTAGAAAGCAAATTCTCTGCCAACCAACTACCACCCTGTCCCCTGATCCTACTGCAAATATAAGAAAATGCAACACACACACACAGTGATGGGGAAGGGGGGCACACTTTGGTCTTTTCATCTTGGGTGCAAAAGGAGCTTGTCCGTACACTAAAGTGCGAACAAGCCAAGGGTGACTAGTGCACAACAACAATGGTAGACATGAACTGACTCTCTCACCTGCACATGATCTCATGAGTGAGAAGGACTCGACACATCTCCGGGTTCTTGTCCTGACCTTCATAGATGATGGCCTGAAACCAAGACATGGGTCAGCAAGTCAGAAGACAGACAGATTTGACTCTACTCCAATTATTATGGAGTACTCTGAGACGGACTCACCTGTTTGGACATGGAGTCGATAAGCCGCACATAAATATCTTGTTCCGTCCTGATTCCTGAACAAAGAACACATGACAATCAGTCTAGTTGCACCTCATAGAGAAGATTTATGAAGCCCCATTGCAGTGACTAAAGTTGGACATACACTATGTGAATTTTGGACAGAATTTGCCCAGTGGGTGCCGCTGTCGGCAACCCTTTCAGCTGGCATCCCTCGATCAGCTGATCAAAGGATCAAAGAAGGTGGTTGGAAAATGTTCGAACTGACAGAGCCGGGAGCCAAGGAGCTGCCGGCTCTGTCCAGGTACTTGGCCAGCGTCCAGAAAGGACAACGGTGGTAAGGGCCATTAAAGTGGAACTAAAGACTTGTACAAACAAATTGCTAGCAGGTAAGCTTTCATTTCACAATAGACTCTTTTAGGCATAATTATAAAGCAGTGCATGTGACATTCACCAAACATTTGCTGCAGGTTAATTTTTTGTTTTCAATTCACCTGCAGTGAATGTTTGGTAACTGTCACATTTACGGCTTTATAAATAATGATGAGCAAAGCAAGCGACGTTCGGTTTGCTGGAGATGTGCCAAAGCATGCCTGAAATCCGCAAATCCCGAACTATGGGAGTCAGATTTTGTTATCTTTTTCTGGCATTTTTCAAGGTCAATTTTACCAAGGCAAAAAAAAAAAAGCATCATTCAGCTGCGAGCGCGTCTTTCAATGCAGCTTAAAGGGCAACATTGAAATTCTTTTAATACCATGGTTGGGTGATGCCTTAAACCTGCATGTGTTTCCTCACAACAACACTATCCCTAGATCAACTTAGGGACATTATGCTGCCCTTCCGATCCTCCAAATGGTATGATATGGCCAAATTAGACGGCTCCTTGGGGGCTTTAGACGTCTTATAGCCCCACTGCTATCGATACCCTCCTGATGGGTACTGCGCTGTTGCGCTGCTTGACCTTTCTCTTTTCTTTTGCTTTATTTTTTACTCCACTACCCGAAACCCCTTGACCCCTGACACCCGGTTTGTCCCATATTCAATATTGTTCCACCTTTAGCTGGTGCACTCCAATAGGCCCTTTCGAACCCAACGATGACGCAATATATGTTTGTCTGTGTGTTTGTCTTCTTCTCTCTCTTTGTGAACCTCCAATCCGTTTATGGTTGGTTAAATGGTGACTATAACGACTATTGATGATGTCATAGTTTTATATTCGTTGTTGACTCACATTAGTCTGTAAACATGTATAACACCTGATCTTCACTATTCTATGCCTATACCAAGTTACTGTGACGTCTTTTCATATGTATCGGCTTTGAAAACTCAATAAATACTACATGCTTAAAAAAAAAAAAAAAAACCTGCATGTGAAGTTATACATGAATACAATGTACTCCTACAAAAGTGAAGAAAAAAAAACTATAGCCTTGAAAACAGGTTGAACTGAGTGGGACAGGTTTTATGGAACTAACGTGTCTTTATGGAACTATGTAACTATGTAAATATGGTTTAAAAAAATGTGTACTGCTCCTTTTAGAACAAAAACAGCTTAGATTCCCCCATAAAATCCATATCAGACCCTTACCCAGGCTGGCTGCTAGGGTAGGGAGGACAGCGAGCATGCCTCCTCACCCCTCTTGCCTCCCCCCAAGGCACCTTGTCCCTGTGCTAATGGGGACAACATATCCTCATATCCCCGGCCTGGTGGATGTGGGAGGTCCGCAGGGGGGGGGGCAGCCCCTTTAGGAAAAAAGTGTGCGGACAACACATCCTCTAAGCTGTAGGCTGTGGCCCCATCCACCAGTTGTTCCAGCACCCGCAGAATTCTGGTGGTAATTTGGTATGGTGTGCAAAGGAGATATCTCTAAGATTTAGAAAAAGAGGGCCCCCTAGATATCAGACCCTCACTTAAACAATGTAGTAAAGTGAAACAAAGACACCATTTAAAAATTCCTGTATTAAATAAAAGAAATCAGCAATGTCTCTCTATGTGAATCCAACATCATTCACATTGTTCAGCAATGGAGATCCAAGAAGAATCACAAAATACGCCCCGATGACACAACGTCCCACCGCAATGGCGATGCTGCCTCCTCACTACTCCCATCGCGAATGACAGGCCTTGGTCAGCTGGTGAATGACTACAAACCAGCAGGAAACAATAGGTGATGTCATCGATCATATATTCTCATGGCCAGTATTTGGTGAATGACGCTAGCCGGGATCCCCGCCGGTTTCTTGTGAATATGAAGCAAGCCAGTGGAAAGCCGGGTAGTCATACCGCCTCTAAGTGAATGACTTCCGGCTGCATCAGCCAGAGGCTAGAATGGGTGAACTGACCAAACCCAGGCCAGTTTATTCACTCAAGCATGCAACTGTGAACAGGCTGTGCCATGAGTTAGACCCAACCTTAAAGGAGAACTATGAGATGAGTGATTTCCACTCACCTCATAGTTCTAGCCGACCTGTGACAATGAGACTGTCACAGGTGGGCTCAGTAGATCGGGAGGTGAGCGAGCACATACCGGCGTTCGCTCACTTCTCGATCCTGTCACGGCTCTCTGCCGTGACAGGGGAGGGGCTGGATTCCCCCCTCCCCGCTCCGATCCGACAGCGCTGACTGGCGGAACGGACGGGGGAGGGGGCGGGTACAGCTGGCTCTGCCTCTAGATAGGCGGAGCCAGCTGTCACTCACGTAGCTGGGCGGATCTCGACATCGATGTCGGGATCCGCTCCGGCAGCGGCGTCTCAGTATACCGGCGAGCTGTAGCTCGCGGTATACTGAGCTTAGGGTAACGGGGGGACGCTAGTTTGTGTCCTCCCGTTACCCTAAGGAGAACCATGGGGAAAAGCACTGACCCCATAGTTCTCCTTTAAGCCCATCCCTATCTATAACTATGTCCCTGTATATCTCTTCTGCCAGTGAAGCTTCTGTCTTGCCCGCATCAGGTCTTGCCCGCATTCTTGTCTTGCCCGCATCAGGTCTTGCCCGCATTCTTGTCTTGCCCGCATCAGGTTGAAAGAAATAGAATTTAAAATAAAGCTTTTTATTGATTGGTTTGCTCCGGATTAGTGAATAAAACCAACAATGTTCTGTTATCGGCAGCCAAGGCCCATGTGTGACTATGCTCTCCTGGGAGCCGGGCCTGACACATGTGGTCGAGTGACAGGTCAGGCCGGGGTAGTTGGTCATGTCTGGTTGCTGGTGACACTCTTACCATTGCTGTAGAGTAGCTGGAGCCTATAGTGGATGCCATTGTTCGTTTTCTCTCCGCTCTGCTCCTGCACACGAGGAAACACTATTAGTTCAGCATGTTAAACAACCGATGCAGTTCCACTTCAGACAAATTAGCTTTATTGGTTATTCTGCATGATTGCATGATTCAGTTCAATGGAAGGCAGATCCTTTTTCAGCACCAATGGCATGTGTATCGCAGATACATTTTTGCACATGTACACACTTTCCTTCTTTTCATGGGACTGCTCTGCTTTTCCCCTCCCCCAGAGAGAAGTGGGAAAAGCAGAGCAGTCTTAGCAAAAAAAAAAGTAATAGCTGTGACTCGTCCACATACGGTATATGTGGGTGAAAAAAAAAAAGCGGGTCTACAAGCAGTAGTGTGACTCACGTGGCCCCTGGGTCCCATCTTTGCTGTTTATTTTGTATGTATTATTTATTTGATTTATTTATCATTTTGTATTTCATTATCTATTTATTTTTTATTATTTTTGTATCTGATATGATTATATTAATACGTTAGGTTAAATTACTATATTAATTCTAAGTAATATTTGTGATTATTCATATTTCTAGAATTGTATCATTATTATCATTATTGTCCTACTACATTTTTTTTTATTATACATGTGCTATTGATGATCATTTCTAATACAGAGCTGCACTTATTCATATTTCTAGTATTAACATTATTAATATTATTATTAGTATTATTATTATCATCATCATCAATAATAATAATAATAACAACACTAAAATGATGATTTTTAGCAAATATATAAATGTTTTTGTCCTATTACATTTTATTACTACTACATTATATTACTTTTATGATTGTCAAATTACAACATTTTGTGAAAATAATACCAGTAACATTCTTATATTTTTGTTTATTTGATGTGATAATCTTATATAATTATTACGTACCATGTAGTATATAGCTTATGTTCATCACTATAAACTAAGACATTGTAAATGTGTCTTCCTTACTAGATTGTTATTATAATTTCTGTCATTTGTTTCTCAGCTCTGATGAAGATAATTGAGTCC